TATGTATGGATTTATTTCTGGGCTCTTGATTCTGTTCCATTGGTCTTTGTCTGTTTTCATGTCACTACTATTTTGTTTTGATCTCTGTAGTTTTGTAGTAAAGTTTGAAATCAGGAATTATGATGCCTCCAGCTTTGTTTTTCCTTCTCAGGATTGCTTTGCCTGTTCAGGGTGTTTTGTGGTTTCATGCAAATTTTAGAATTCCATTGGCATTTTGATAGGGATTGCATTGAATCTATAGATGCTTCTTATTTGCTTTCTTCTGATAACTTTGGGCTTTGTTTTTTTCTGGCTTGTTGAGGTATAAGGTTAGGTTCTTTATTTGAAATCTTCTTTTTCTTGATTTATGTGCTCATCACTACAAACTTCCTGCTTAGAACTGTTTTTTCTACATCCCATAGGTCTTGGTGTGTGTGTTTCTATTATTTGTCGCAAGTTATTTTTTTTAAATTTTTTAAAAGTTTTTATTTTTTAATGTTTATTTATTTTTGAGAGAGACAGTGTGTGGCGGGGGCGTGGGGTGGGGTGGCAGAGAGAGAGGGAGACACAGAATCTGAAGCAGGCTCCAGGCTCCGAGCTGTCAGTGCAGAGCCTGATGTGGGGCTCGAACTCATGAACCAGTGAGATCATGACCTGAGCCGAAGTTGGCCTCTTAACCGACTGAGCCACCCAGGCACTCCTGTCTCAAGTTATTTTTAAAATTTCCCTTTTGATTTCTTTGAGCCATTGGTTCAGAAATGTTTTATTTAATTTCCACATATCTGTGAATTTTCCAGCTTTCCTCCTGTTACTACTTTCTAGCTTCATACCATTGTGGTTTGAAAAGATACTTATTATAATTTTTATATTTTTTAATTTGTTGAGACTTGTTTAGTGTCCAATGTGATTTATCCCAGAAGATGTTGTGTGGATCCTTGAGAAGAATGTATATTCTGTTGATATTTAAAGGATTGTTCTGTATATGTCTGTTAGTTCCATTTGGTCTATAATGTTCAAATCTGCTGTTTCCTTATCGATTTTTTGTCTGGGTGATCTCTCCACTGTTGAGTATGGGATATTAAAATCTCCAATTATTACTATATTGCCAATTATTTCTCCTTTTAGTTAATCTATCAGTATTTGCTTTATATATTTAGGTGCTTCAATGTTAGGTACATAAATATTTAGTTATTATATCTTCCAGATGAATTGATCCCTTTACCATTATATAACAACCTTACTTAGGTTTTTTTTGACCATCTTTTTTTCTTAATATTTTGTTTAACACAAGTATAGCTACTCCTGCTTTTTTTTTTTTTTTTTGGTTGCCATTTGCTTGAAATATCTTTTTCACCCCCTCACTCTCACTATCATGCTAAAGTGAGCCTCTGTGTTACGGGCAGCATATTATTGGATGTTGTCTCTATTATTTCTTTTTAATCCACTCAGCCATTCTGTGTCTTTTGATTGGAGAATTTAATGGTTTATGTTTAAAGTAATTCTTGATAGGTAACAACTTACACTTGCCATTTTGTTGTTGCCTGTTTTGTAGATCCAATGTTCGTGCTTCTTCTCTTGCTGTCTTCCTTGGTGATCTCATGCCTTTTTGTGGTAGTGTGCTTTAACTCCTTTATCATAATCTTTTGTGTACCTACTACAGGTTTTCCTCAGGTCGTTACCCTGAGACATACATGAAATGTCATATATTTATAACATGCTATTTAAACTACTAAGACCTTTGATAGCATACAGAAATTTATACTTCTGCCTTCCTCATATTTTAGGTTCTTGATGTTATAATTTGCATATTTTTATATTCTGTATCTAGTAATAAATTATTGTAGTTAGGATCATTTTTAGTATGTTTAGCTTTTAAATTAGAGTTGTAATTGAATTATGCAACACCATTACAATATTAGATCTAACTTTGACTATATATTTACTCTTAATATATATATACTATGTATATTACTGTTATTGGTGGATTTTACACATTCTTATGTTTAAAAACATTTTTTTTAATATTTATTTACTTTTGAGAGAGACTGAGCATGAGTGGGGGAAGGGCAGAGAGAGAGGGAGACACAGAATCTGAAGCAGGTTCCAGGCTCTGAGCTGTTAGCACAGAGCCTGATGTGGGGCTCAAACTCATGAACTTTGAGATCATCACCTGAGCCAAAGGCCAGTGCTTAGCCAACTGAGCCACCCAGGAGCCCGTCACATTCTTAGGTTTTTATGATGCCAATTTCAAATAACCTATCTTCTGATTCACTAGTTCTTACATCTGCTTGGTCATTTTAGCTGTTCAAGCTTTCTGTGCAGTTCTTCAGTCATTGTATTCTTCAGCTCTGGGATTTCTGCTTTGTTTCCTTGTGGTACTTCTCATTCTGCTCATGTATTCTCTTATTTAGTTGTCTGTCCTTCTAGTTAAAACGTAACTTTTTTTTTAATTAAAAAAATTTTTAAATTTATTTTAGAGAGAGAAGAGTGCAAGTGGGGGAGAGGGGCAGAGGGAGAGAATCCCAAGCAGGCTTCAGTGTGGAGCCTGATGCGGGGCTCAATCTCATGACCCTGGGACAATGACCTGAGCCAAAATGAAGAGTTGGACGCTCAACCAACTTAGCCACCCAGGCTCCCCAAGAAATTGATTCTTTTTTTAAAAAAAGTTTGTTTATTTTTGAGAGAGAAAGAAAGCGTTGGGGAGGGGCAGAGGGAGACAGAAACACAGAATTTGAAGGAGGCTCCGGGCTCTGAGCTGTCAGCACAGAGCCTGACTTGGGGCTCGAACCCACAAGTGGTAAGATCATGACCTGAGCTGAAGTTGGATGCTCAACTGACTGAGCCACCCAGGTGCCCAGAGGTTTATTCTTAATTACTGATTATATAGTTCATGGATCTCCATTTCTTTAGGATCTGTTATTGGAGCTTTGTTAGTTTCCTTTGGTGGGGTCATGTTTACCTGATTCTTCATGAGCCTTAATTCCTTGCATTGGTATCTGCACATATAAGTGGTTTCCTTTTCCAGACTTAACCAGTTTGCTTCAGTAGGAAAAATGTTCACCATTCAGCTTAGCTTGAATGGGTTACTGGGTGGGTCAGCTAGTAGCATTCATGGTAGGCAGGGCATGCTGTCAGGGTCTCTAGTTGGGTGAGACCACTGCTCATGCTCTGAGGTTGGGGGTCAGGGCTCTACTAGCTGGGCTCCTTGGTAGGGTGGGTCTGCTTGTTGGGCTCTGTGTTCAAGCAGGGCTGCTGGGCAGGCTTTCAGACTGGGTGTGGCTGTTGGCTGTGTTACATGGTCACTTGGGGTCACTAGCTGGGCTCTGTAGTTACCTCTGATCCGGTGGGGTTACTGGATGTGTCCTCTGGAAAGGCAGTGCCACTGGTTGGGCTCTGATTGGGCAGGACTATGGGTGGGTCTCCACCATTGCTCCTGGTTGGGTGGGGTCTTAGACCATCCTGACCAGATGGTTCTGCTGGCTAGACTCTGTTGAGGTCAGGCCACAGGCAGAGTTTCATGATTGGACCTGATTTCAGGCTGTGCTCTGTGATCAGACTGTGCCCCAGAAGTCTGCAGGCTTGGTTTCGAGAACAGGTAGCCTCTGGTTGTGCTCTGCCGTTGAGCAACATTGCTGGCTAGGTTCTCTGGTGGGGATGGACCTCCAGCTGTATCCTGTAGTTGGTTGGGGCTAGGGACTGTGCTCTGTGGCTGGGTAGGGTCACTGCCTGGGCTCCCTATCTGGACAAGGCCACAAGATGTGTCCAGCATTTGGGCAGAATTGTAGGCTGGGCTTCAAGGCTGCTTAGGGACACTCTTCAGGCTCCCTGCTTATAGGACCAGAAGCTGTGCTGAACAGTTGGGCAGGGTTGCTGGTTTGGTTCCTGTCCAAGTGGGGCTAGAGGATGGGCTCTGTGGCTGCCCAGATTCTGTGGTCGGGCTTCCGTCAGCAGTTGAGTGGGTCTGCAAATTTGCTTCTTTGCCTTGGTGGGGCAGTAGAATGGGCTCTACAGCTGGTTTCAGCCAGTTGACTAGGAGTCCAAATCAGGCATAATCGCCAACCAAGCGCCCTGGTCACATAGGGTACCAGCTGAGCTCTGCAGATGGGCAGAGTCACTGGCTGGGATCTTTGCTCATGCACTGCTGCAAGCAAGAACACCGTCCAACAAGATCTGCGCTCTGGTTATTGAAAGCCCTGCCCCCGCTTCTGATTCCCAGTGGTCCCTGTTAGCTGAGACCCAGATGGGCTTCCTAGGAAGCATCCCACAATGCTCGGGGATCTGGATGTCCACTTTTTTCCCATTGAAGAAACCACAGCTCTGTGCTGGCCTCAGGAGGGGCAGTTTGGTCAGTGTTACCACTTCTCTTACCCTTCTCTTTGGTCCTTCTTTGTCTTTGGTCCACCAAGGGTGCATCTGCCTTGCCTCTGCATTCTGGGATTCTCAGTGGTGTCTTGCTTGTGGATAGCTGCTAGTTGGTCTTGTGAGGGGGACTGAAGTTGGGAATAACTACATTGCCATCTTGATGTTGTCACTGAAATCAGCACTTTGGTATTGAAAGAAATCTAGCTGCATGGGGCCCAAGCACAACTTCCCTAAGTCACAGCCTGTCTCCCTTCACGCTTTCCATGATCGCAACTCCGTGCCCCTTTCTGGCCTCCCATCCCTTATGTGACTGCTCTTCAAGCAGCCCTTTATCCTGCTTTGATCCTGGTAAAGATTATTGGGGGCGGAAAACAGAAACATGGGTTAAAGGCCCACTTACTCGTCTCATGCCTCCACCTGGCCCCTAATTTTGTGTGCACTTTCATTGGCTGGGTTTTACCTCCACATTTGCTGTTTGCCTATCTCTGTTGTGGGCCAGGAGAACACCTGTGTGCTGGGAAAGCCTTGAGCTTGCCTTGTCACCATCTGTGGTGCACCCTGTGTGGAGGGTGGGCTGTTTAGTTAAGGCAGTTTGGCATAAACCAGTTGTTACTTTACAATTGAAGAATGTATTTTGTTCATTTTAAGTGTAATTAAAGAATCTGGTGCAAAGCACAAGGGATTGATTGAAATACTCAGCCTTTCTGAAGAAAATGAAGTAGATGACACCGAGGTGAGGTATCTGTTTTTTTGTTTTGTTTTTTAAGTCCAAGCTTCTGCTGTATACGTTGGGCATTTGAAAAACTATTGAATACACTTTGTGATTCCTGTGCGGTGGTTGTGGTGTATTGTAAAGGGTTTGTTTGCCAAGAAGGTTTACTATGCTGGGTGGGTGGGGGGCAGTGTGGGGTGTGGAGTGGAGCCGTGTAGGAAAGAAGAGGAAGCCCCAGACTGCCCCATACACCAGGTGTAGTCCTTGGGCAGGTGACCACGCCCTCCACAGCCTTTTCATCTGTGAAGTGGGACTAATTCGTCTTTCAGGGGTGGCATCAGATAAATGTGACAGTGTATGTCCTGTTAAGTGCTTAGGCGGATGTGCAGCTTGGTGAACGGGGTTTTGTTTCTGCATCTCTGCTGTTTCCTTTGAATGTGAAAATATTCAGCTTTTAGCTGTGATTGTATCGCATGGTTTTTCATAAACTAGTTAGTCCATGTTGCTTTTGATTAGCTCTCCTAGTTCTCCTGGGAGCTAGAGCCTTGGGAACACCCAGGCTTGATTCTCAGTGATTGCCCTCTTGAGCCAAAAGCTTGGTTCTGGGGAGGGACCATTTGTACAGCAGCCGTATTTTCCAAACCAAGATAATTTGACAAAGGGGTTTTGATTTGTGAATGTATTTAAATATGAAGGCTTACAAAGACATAAAAATTAAATCATACTGAGAAACATACAACCTCCCTTTATTAAAGGTTATAAAATGCTATACAGGTGGGGCTGGCTCGGGCACCTGGGTGGCTCAGTTGGTTAAGCATCTGACTTCAGCTCAGGTCATGACCTCACAGTTCATGAGTTTGAGCCCTGCGTTGGGCTCTGTGTTGACAGCTCAGAGCCTGGAGCCTGCTTTAGATTCTGTGTCTCCCTTTCCCTCTCTGCCTCTCTCCTGCTCGCTCTCAAAAAAAAAAAAAAAAAAAAAAAAAAAAAAGAGGGGGGTGCTGTCTCATACACATCTTCAGACATGTGGTTGATGCCTTTAAGGACTGTGATTTCACGTCGCTATATTCAGCATGATGAAAAGTTTTCATCAGCATATTAAACTGGTCTTTTCGGTTCAACCCTTGGTGGCATTACAGAATAAAGTGGGACCCAGGATCTGGGACCATACCCATCTCAAGTGAATCATAGGGATGCGAAAAATTTTAAACCAACATCTCTTTTTATTCTGAGAATACCACGGAGGCATTGCCAGAGCCAGAATGGCCTTCTGATGCTTCCCTCTGTCTGCCTCCTCCCCACTCTTACTGTCCCTTTTTCTCCCTCCCTCTTCCTTTCTTCCTCCCTACCAAAAAAGTGTAGCCCAAGGCCGTGTTACATGGGAACTCGATTTTCCTAATTACACTGGCTTTGGGGTACTAGACCAGCGCTGTTCAATAGAAATACAATGCAAGCCACATATGGAATTTAAAATTTTCGAGTAGCCATATTAAAAAAGTTAAAGGAAACAAATGAAATTAATTTTAATATTTATATTTTTATTTAACCGAATGTATAAAAATACCATTTAAACATGTAATTAGTATCAAAATTATTGGGATTATTTTACAGTCTTTTTTTGTACTAAATCTTCAAAGTCTGTTGTGTGTATTATTTCACACTCGTAGCACATCTCAAATCAGACCAGCCACATTTCAAGTGCTCAATAGCCAAATGTGGCTAGTGGCTACCATACTGGACAGCGCATTTCTAGACCCTGATAAAAGCCATGGGGTGTGACTACATCATCAATAGAATACATACACATATACACACAACATTTTGTATGCAAATTAAGGAGTTCACATTTCTAAGAAGTCCCCTCAAGATCTGGCCATCAACCCAGTCAGTGGACCTTGGATTAAAAAATCCTTACAGCTTTTCAGTCTGTGAAGAAACCTGGCACATCTCTCTCACATCCACTTCTTCCCCTTCCCTCACCGTCATAGTGCTTCTCCCAGCCATGTGTCCTGATGTTGTAAGAGTACATCAAACCAGATTTTTATGTTTGTATGTTTCTGATTTGTAGATGAACGTGAGTAAAAAGAAAGGAGATGGGGATATACGGAAGGATCTTATGAAAACTGCAGGTACCGCCAAGGTCAGAGAGGCCCTTGGAGATTACATGAAGGCACTTAAGACGGGTAGAAGGCCACCCTTGTGAACCAGTGTGTCCCTTTTCCAGTTACCCAAGTTCTGCTCTGTACTTGGATTTCCAGGTTAGGGTTATGTCTGAGGCTTCCGAAAAAACTCTTTATGCTGCAGGATAAAAATTGTAGTCTGGAGGTTGAGAGCTAGTTACAAGTAAGCGCATGAGTAGTGACTATTGGCATTGTATACATTGTGAACTGTTTTGCCTACAGAATTGCTAAGACTTTTCTGGAATAATTTATTCAGTTTGTTTGTATAATTACTTGTTTATCTTCCCTGCTACACTGTAAGCTCTAAGGTGGCATGGAAGGTGTCTTATTGACTGCTGTATCTCCAGCTTCTAGCACAATGCCCCACACATAGTAGGTGCTTATTAATAAATCTTTGTTGAGTATCGAATGAATGAAAGGTATTTCAGGTATAGTTGAGATAATTCCTGAGGAACTCCTAGATAATTCCTGCACTGCGTGGAAGTGAGGTTATTGTCTTCTTCCCTAAAATTGACATTTAAAAGGAAATGGAGAATACCTTGCAGGTATGAGCTGTGGTGGCCAATACGAAGGGAGGGAAGAGGAAGTGCTTAATGAGAATATTGAAAGCTCTAAATGATGGAGAGCTGCAAAGGCTAGTGAGGAGGGCCAGTTCATCCATCTTTGTATCCCGTGCCATTGTTTTGGGAAATGATGAAATGACACTTTCATCCTTGAGGGAAGGGAATGTATAAATAGGCTTTCTTGTGGGATAAATACTGCATTTAGTTCAAGACAATGCTCCAAAGGCAGGGTTTTTTGGTAGGCAGATTACAAAACCTGGTGATGTTGTGGTTCACCTACCACAGTGGAAAACACTGCTTCAGACTTTTGGTTTAGGATCCCATTCTTGGAATCTGGTGGTGGGAATTGACAGCCTTTGGCCTTAAATGCTGTTGTCCCTCATCTGCTTATCTTTGTGCCCTCTGGGCCATATGTACTTGTCCAAGTAGGCTTTGGGGTGTTAAGCCATGGCCCGGGAGTAGGTCAGAGCCGAGGAGCTAGCTCATAGCCACAATGAGCTGTTTCACAGTAACTGGGATTGGTGGTGCTAAAAAGGCTTTTCATGCTCTTTCCACGCGTCTGGAAGGTATAGTGTGGAATATGAGGACATTTTGGTAAGACTGAAAGATTGAATTTTTAAATCTAAGTAGCTTTATCTCCTGGCATGCTATTTAGTTATCCTTTGGAACATCTACTCTTCTTGAGATTCAGGCTTCATCTCCAACAGGTTTGGGTGTGAGGATCCCCACGGTGACACTGCACATGACCGAACTGTTTGACCCAACTGTAGAGCAGCTGTACAGCATCTTCACTGTGAAAGATGTAAGTAACTTCCCAAGCTAGGGCCCCCAGTGCTGATGTGGGGAGAAAATGTGCCACTAAGAACTGGAGCTGGTTTTTGGTTTCCCAGACAGCCATGTTTTTATGATTGAAGAGACCTAGCATGGTGGTGATAGAGGTCTTTAGGATAACTTCTAAAAAAATTTAAGGGGCTAAAAGATGGGCATTTTTAGGGAAATATGTCTGCACTTAGGGGATATAATACTGGGTTTTCTCCTTCAGAAAGGGAGAGAAAGCTGTAAGTAAACACTATTCAGGATTAGGAAAAAAACAAAAAAAACAAAAACCCCAAACCACAGTGATGATTTTGTTAATACTTTGCCTTTAGGTTCAAAAGGTGATAGGGCGTGATGGGATGACATGTCTCTTGTATGTTTTACTTGGTTAGCTGGTGCAGAAATTTTCTAAATCTCTTGCTATATTAGAAGCTGAAAAAAGAGGGACATTCCAAATGTTTGATGGGAACATCACCGGCGAATATGTAGAATTGGTAAGTAATCTTTAGGGTTAAAGAAAAGCAAGCTGGGACTGACCCTTCTGTTACATTGCTTTTTAAAAATCTGTGCTGTTTTTAATTTGCTTTTTTATCTGAGTTCACAGAAACTTGAGAAATTTATAAAATTGGTTATGGTAAATAGTTACAAATACCAAGTAGTGATAAAGATGAAGCCTTAGTTGCATAGTAATTGTACTGGTTTTAGAAGAAAGAAGTATAGTTAATTCCCCTCAACTCTTGGTCTAGAAGTTTCACATTTCTGCCACCTAAATCACTAGGGTCTGTGTTGCCCAGTGTCACCCTTGACATCAGCCCAGTTTTGGTTACCACTGTCACTATACTTCTGTCCTTGATGTTACTGTTAAGGACATTGTGGCACCTAGAACAATGGATTCTCAGTGATGCTGGCATATAACCTGGAAGATGGGACTGTATGTTGTTTGTTGATTACCTTTAGTACCTCAGGAGTTTTAATGAAAGGATTTTCTGTGTTGCACTGGAAGTTTTAAAAGATGTCTTAAGGGAATTTCCCCTGTGTTTTTTTAGTTGACAAATAAAAAGATCGTCATGAAATGGAGACATAGGAACTGGCCAGAAGGTATGTTAGTAGTATGCTTTGTTATAAGAATTGGGAAACACTCAAGATTTCTCCCCCCACCCCCACTGTAATAAGCCAGTTGTAGTACTGTATGGATAGTTTTCATAATGCAGTAATAAGCTCCTTCTTTTTCTTCTAGAACACCATGCGACAGTTGCACTGAGTTTTTGTGCCTACTCCAGGGCAAATGGAATTGCAGTTGGACTGTAAAGGAGTTCCTGTTTGTAAAGAAGAGGGCATGAAATCCTGTTGGCAGAAGCAGCATTTTGAAGAAATAAAATGTTTACTGAAGCTGACTACCCTAAATGGTTGAATTAGAAGATTTTGTAAGTCTACCTCTTCTCAATCCTTTTAAAAAAGAAAACACCCTTAATTTATATTGGATGAAATCCATGACCTCTTACAGAATTCAAAACATTGTTTGAATCTTTACTACGATTGGACTCTCATTGGGTTAAAAGTAGCAAGCAATGTGGAAATTAGGTATTAACCTTACCTCCCATAGATGCTCCTCTGGGAACAGATTGAGCCTCTGAGTACAGATAGTTGAAGTTTCCCACTAAAGCTTGTCCTGGCAAGCCACTCTGAGCTGTAGTTTTAGTTCAGGAAGACAAAAAAATAAATGGCACGTCGATACTTTTCCTTTATTTCACTTCAGGGTTTTAAGGCCTGTAGCTCTTTAGGTAGCATAGCAGCCATGTGTTCAGAAGCATGTTGGAGTGAGGTGCCTTGGGCCTTGTCATCAGGCTACTCCCTGCAGTGGCTATGCACTCCAGGCGGAGGACCGACAGGCTGCGGGGCAGCTTACGTTCTGGATCGCCGCCAGCACTAAGGAACTAGAGTATAATGGAGAAATGCTTCCCTCCCGCTCAGTGTCCTCATTACTTTCATCTGAGAAGACTAAAGCAATGTTAAATGTAAACAAATGAAAAGTCATCACAATCAGTTTAATTAAGTGCACAGAATAGCAATCAGTCATGTCAATAAAAATAAAACAATTATTTTTACATCAAGTGTGCTTTATTTCCTCCACAGGTATTCTGTTAAATAAAGCACCATTTATATACTGCCAGGCCACAGCTAAAGAGGATTCTTTACAGAATCAAATTTCTTGTGGTTGTTCCGTATACAAGTAAACTTAATTTTGATAATAAGAACCACAGCGATCGGAGGCGACCTGCCTCTATTATAAGGTACAAAACTGGCACAGAGGACACCATATTATACACAGTAAAAATGCTGTAAGTTTAAATTACATTGTACAGGGCCAGGGAACCCTGTTCCTCCCAGACAGCCATATTAAATGAAAGCCACTACAGTGAACTCTTAATTACATAAAACATATCCGTTATCTGATTGCCCTTTAGAAAGTATACTGAAGATGCAAATTTTTTCATCTGGAGTTCTGCCTGACCAAGAATTAAGCCTATAAATCTATCTTGCCATTCAAGCAGAGAGCACTGGACAAACTGAAGCACAAAAACAGAAATAAGCAAAACTTATACAAACAGCTTTGGGGGTGGGGGATGGAGAGAAGGGACCTTAAAAGTAGTAGACATGCTACATCTAATGTCAAGAAGCAGCTTGGTTTCCTTTGCCAGATATCCTTGTGATCACATGGATTGTAGATTCAATGGTCCTACACAGAGTATCTAAAATGTCGTGTTGCTGCATGTGACTAAAGAGTCCTCTGGAATGGCCACAACTGAGTGATAGAGCAGCCTCAGGGTCCTGGGAGGGCAAAGCTTGACCATCACAGCTTCTCAAGTCAGCTAAGTCAGAGAGAACTGCAGAGATAGAAGTAGAAGGGAACTCAGACTCTTCCTCAGCTAGGTTAGAATCCTTGGAACAGTGGAGGTCCTTGAACTCTTTACAGTCTTCAAATCTACCTTCGTTGGACTGTTCTTCTGCATGCTGTGACCTGATACTTGACATGTCTTCTGAAAACGAAGATGGAACTTCCATTCGATATTCTTTAACAGAACTATTTTCAGGGGAAGGAAGATCTTGCTCGGTTCCTGGATCAATAATTGAAGAGTCTCTTGTCTCATTGTCTGAAGTGCTAGTTGGGGTTAGGACCTCCCTAGTTTCTGTTTTCATGTCGCTGATACAGCTGTCTACAGTGTGCTCCTCATCACTGCTAACACGCCTTCTTTTAACAGGAGTTGCCCCTTCATCATCTGTAAAAATGAACATCATTCTCTGAAAGGAGTCATTGAGATCACACCAGGGCGGGGGGGTGTTTGCGGGAAATTTTGTTCTTAGCATTTATACCTAGGAGACCCAGCTGAACAGACAGCTCTTACAAAGTCAATTACACTGAGTGTATTCTTCCCCCTCTCCCACCCTGAAGGTATAATTAATATTAGTCCACAAAGCTAACCTTTAGTTTTTCTTTCTTTGGCTTCTTGCTCTTGGAGTGAGTTTCTCTGCTGCAGACAAGTCCTGCATTTGCTTAAAAGCTCTTGCAGAGTTGGAATTAGAGCTGGGTTTAATTGCTTGGGAGTGTGGACTGACAGGAGCAAAGCAAGTGCACGCAGATCCTGTAAACCCAGAAAGGAACATGTCAAATTCTAAAGCTAACATTTTGACAGCTGTTTACAGTTTAACACACATTTACTTTTCCAGGAATCCATTCTGGTTTCTTTTGCATTTTTAGAGAATGCTAAAACTAGAAAGCCAGCATTAGGATATTATCCGTGAGAAATTAAGGCCTCGATCTAGAAATCAGTTTCTCAAACAGGCTGATTTCTGGTGAATGTCACAAATAGTAAGGTCTTAACTCACCTAGCTCTGCAACCTGTTCTGGCATCTAAGCAACATTTTGTTACTTGGAAAACTGCTGCTGGACATGTGCTAGCATTCCATTATTGTATGACCTGGGTATCATGGAAATCTATATAAGGCACCTAATTCCCTAGGTTTAATTGCCTTTATAATCAATGGATCATTAATCTGATTGTTTCAGTTATTTATGAGCCACAGGCAATAACAGAAACATCACAAGTAATGTTTTCAAAAAATGTAATAAACAAGTAGAGATAAAAGGAATATCTCCTCTTAATGGTTTCACTGCCCATAGTGAACACATGTTTTTAGAAATTTGGTAGTTTTTCCAGAGTTTGAAGAAGTTATGATAGTAAAATAGTACTAAAGCCAAAGGTGATTTAAGGAAAGTTCTTAAGTACAACATCCCTCCCCCAGTTCTTACCCCATTTAAAGAAGCACTTGCTTTGGAAATTTCAACACGGTTGGTGAAATCAGACTGCATATTCTGATACTGATTTATCAAGTTTGTAATTAGGGTGCTGATCAGATTGGCACAGTTTGCTTCAGAAAACACTTGACCTTGAACCTGAGAAAAAGAGATTAAAAACAAATCTCCAAAAGACCAACACCATGAAAACACAACCACTAACTAGGTAGAAGTAACACAATGAGTTTTCAAAGGTAGGACATACCTTTAGAAGAAAATGTGTCATGAATGTGTACACAATGTTGTTGTTTAGAAAAGTTCTTTCATCCATCAGGATACACTTTATATATTCTGCAAAAACGGGATCTTCACACAAAAGCTTGATGCAATTTTTTGACATAGCAGACTACAGTAGGGGAGAAGAAGTACTGATGGTTGAGCACTGAAATAACAGCAAGGCTTACACACTGCTTATGATGAACATCCAAAGTCATTTAAGTCCTTTCAGAGACCACTTCTAACTCCAGTTATAGTAACCGTACTCCCGATAAAACAAGTCTTAGTCACTTGGACTCTACATGTAAGTATCAGAGGAAGAGAGACTTGTAACAAGTCTGAAGGGCAAAAGGAACAAATAGGTTTCCAAAGAAATGCAACTTTATTATCTAGCATTAAATGAGGGAATAAGGACTGGACAAATTAAGACCAGCAAATAGGATGAGAATGTTTGCAGAGGACCAATTAATGGATAATAGGTAACCAAACTATATACAGAAAAAAGACAAATTTTAAGAATTAAACTTATTCCATAAAAGGAATTAAAATGTTAAGCAATAGTAATTTGTTTGGAAATATCCTCCCCACCCCCCATGAATACTGCAAAGTAAACAGCAAACCTCCTTTAATTACCTCACAAGAATTAGTGGTTCCCAATATACAGAAGAAATTTTACTAAAATTGCATTCCCCTGTTTTTAAATGGTCATGGCTCTTCCACACAAGTAGTATATCTTTAAGTAAATCTATTCTCTAGATTATAGGTATTTTAATAAAAGATCATTTATATGGGAGATAAAATGGAGTATTTAATAAAACAGGACAAAGTTTAGATAATATGTACAGGTATATGCTTATTTTATTCGAGTAAGCAACTTGGTAAGTCACTCAAGTTCACCCCAAAAAATCAGAAGTCGAATAGGACCAGGACCCAGCTCTTCAGATGCTTGGTGTCAGGAAAATCTGCCTAATTCTACCAGCCAGAGCCTCTGCCTGCTGCCTGTGTTTCTTGATGGCTGCTTCTACCACGCTGGCAGACTGGAAGCCTTGGACAGTTTGGCTTTGTTTTAAAGGAAGTTTTTGGAGATGGTGGATTCTTTGGAAAACAAGCCAATTAAGGGAGCAGTAAAGTGCTGGAGTAGATAAAACAATAGGGAAGCAATAGCCAGTGGCAGAGTACAGAAACCAAAAAAAGTGACTACCCAAATCAAGAATGAAAAGAATAGCAGCAGTGGCAGAGGGAAAAAGCAGAGATCTCCCATTTACTGAATTAACCACTCAGCTAAAAACAAAAACAAACAAAACAAAAAAACCCAGGAAGTCATTTTCTCAAAGTCTCCTATGTACTACGCCATGTGATCAATGTAAATTAGCCTTTTAAAGATTCCTACTACAGAGAATAAAATGACATTTCTTGAAGGGATAGAGAGGATTCCATTTCTACACTTGAGGAGCTCAGTTTGTGAGGAGATAAACAACTATTACAGCACTGTGTGACACACATCCACCGGGAGAATAAACAGAGCATTACAGCCCAGGCAGGAGGCTGTACCAGAGGCATAAAGTGTTTCAGATACTGTAATGTGGGTAAAGTTTAGGCTAAAGTAAACAAACTCATCTCTTCCTCTGAGCATGGGCAGCTGCAACCAGTCAGGAAACCAAGTTTTCCCAGGATCTAAATGCGCCTGGTCCAAGGAATGAATCAAATCTTAGGACCAATCTGGTTTCTCCCCACCTCTCTGCCATTCTCCCCCAGAATGAAACAAGCATTATTTAGGTGCCCGCTTTAAAGAGTTGGCTCTTAAGATACTTAAAGTAGGTAGGATAGTGTTTCCTGTTCTCAATGACCATGCTGGTAAAAAAAAGTACATCAGACCCTTGAAAACCTACTCCAAGGTAACAGGTAAGAGGTAAAGGTAAAGGACAGGTAAAGGACTTCCCCCAAAATACCTCCCTGTTTTGGA